GTCTGTCGTGTTGCGCTCTCCCACTCTCTCTCGCCCCCTCTGGAGGTTGTGAGCTTTTTCGCCGCGCCCCCCCCCCCCCCCCACCCGCCCCGGCCGCCCCCCCCCCCCCCCCGCCCACCCCACGACTCCTGTTCAGCTGCAAATTTGCTCTTGTCGGCATTTGCAGCATGCAGCAGCGACGGTTGACACTCCTCAGTGCAGGCAGGCAGGCAGGCAGGCAGGCAGGCAGGCAGGCAGCCACAGCTAAAAACTTACTTAATTTAGCTGCGGCGAGAAGTTAATCATTGCATTTCGCCCATGGGTGGAGGAAGGGGACTCCTCTGATGAGTGCGTGCTCGCTGCGATATGATGGACATGAGCTCAACCTCTCTCGCTCAGCCTCTCTCTCTGCGCTTCTCTCTCTCTCTCTTCGTCTCTCTCTGTCTCTCTCTCTCTGAGCTTATTGATGCTGCTGCAGGTGTGCGCAAACATAACCCCACTTTCGTTAGCTTCATTGGACTGACAGATGACTTCCAATCTGATCGATTAGAAAGTGACTAAAAGTTGTCGTGCAGCAGCGTGCATAGATTGAGCTTAGCTTAGTTTTTGCTTGATAGAATTTGTCACAGATTGTGGGTAAAGCAGTCGCTGACTTGGAGTTGGTTTGTGTGCATTTGGGAGAGGAAAACATGGCAACAAAATATTTAAAATTTAATATTAGATGTCACTAAGTTAAGAGAGAAATATATTAGTAATTGTCATAATTTATGAAGATTTTGTATGCGTATGAGAGAATTTCTCTGTCTCGTGGGTTCTCGGTAAATTCATTTATTTTTGACTAAAGTTTAAAAAATGTTTAAAATATTGTGATGATAGTTCAGCATCTCAACCAAAGCTCCAATTTATCTACTCTGTATTATTTTTACTGTGGAAAATATCTGCTCAAATTTTGACTGTCTAGACCTAAAGTTGGTACAAAAATCAAACTCTACTCGCAAGTTTTCCATGAGAACTCCTTTATGTTCTTATTTATTCAAAGGAAAATTATATTTCGAACTATGTTAGCTGTGAAGCTGTAAAGTGTGCGGAAAGTACAAACCAACTTCAACTGCGCCAACATTGGGCGTGGAGTAATCGATCTGCGACGCTCGACTCAGAGGAGGCTTCCGGCATTACTTGGCAAAATCTGCAGAATATCCATTTGTATGCAAATGGAACATGTTTGGCCAGACAAGAAGCGACACCTTAATCATTCTGAGCAAGCGCTAAACATTTCCGATCTACAAAAACAGAAACTAGAGCGTATTTCCTGCCCAAAGGCAAGAGCCCCCCAAAGGGAGTCCCTGGAGGAAGAGCCCTTGTGTGGTGAAAGCCGTGCCAGAAAGCTATTTTCTATTTGTTTACTGGCATTCACAAATTCCGATGGCCGCTCTGCTCTCTGCTTTGGGGGAGGGGGTTATTACTGCTCCGACGTTTATTTTTTACGGTTCACCAAGTGGTGGTGGGTCGTTCGGCACAACCACCCCCCCGCACACCCACACACACACAATGGATGGTGGAAATCAGCATATGCCTATGCCTACATGTGGGTAAACACCACCGCGTCGCTAACTGTAGGCACAAAAAACCACTCCGCCCTGGGGCACTTCTTGTCTACATTGTTTTGAATATTTTCTGCCAGACAGAGCATACAGCAGACGGCAGACGGCAGACATCAGGCAGCAGAGGGGCAAACAAACAAAAACAGGAAGCGTGGCTACCACAAATATGCACGGCACAGGCACAGGGCTTGGTCTGGGATTGGGATTGGGACTGGGACTGGGACTTTGAGTTGGGAATGCATGTAGATACTAGATCGCTATCTGGCTACGAACTTTGCCACAGGAATAATGGCGGCCGACAGGCGTTGGCCCAGGGGCGGCCATAATTAATGCGCCCATCCCTACAGCAAACCCCAACCCTGTGCCTAATGTAGCCCAAACCCGGGCCCGAAAAATGCTGCACGAAACGCAATTAGAAGCGGGCGTAATTGGTTGCCGGCGGCCTGCACAGGGGGTTCGGTTCGCCCACGGCTTTGGCTTCTACCTCTGACTGCCTGTGTGTGTGTGTGTTAGCGATAAGTGTTTAATTAGCCGAGTTATTAATCTAATCAATCATGGAGGCCGAAATCAATCATCGGGTGGGGGGCAGCGGGTATGATATGGCAAAGATTGGCTATCGGCTCGAGCAGAGACTTCCCTTTCCACTCCCTTGCGCTGCTGCCCTCTTGGGTCGTTGACAGACATTGAGTCGTTGAGCAGTGGCTGCAGCTGCTCATTGGGCGCAGCATTACAGCGTAATTCCAGTGCGTGCGAGCGAGACGACTAGTGTGACTGCTGCGCAAGACAACGGGGGAGCACGAAGCGCTCTTGGTCCCGCCTCTCAGTGAGTCTTTCACTCCGCAGTTTTGAGTGAAACTCAATCGGGATTATATCACTTGAGTGGAAGATGCCCCCCGCGCCCGCTCTATGCAACTTTTGCTTAGTCTTTTATACAATAAATAAATAAATTATTGGGGACTGCGTCAACAAATGTGTGCGGAAGAGTGTTCGGGGAGACAGACTCGTGTCTCGTCCGTCGTGTGGCGTGCGTTGGAGCAAAAAAGCTTCACCTCTCAATCGGCTGGGTATCGAATGGGTGGTTGGGTGGCTTGTCTGATCATTGTTATTCTGCGGTGGCGGATTATAGCCCATTAAAATTGATTATGCCCCATTATCAGCGCTGGGTGGCACGCCCCACACCCCACCAATAGACAGGTGGACACGCTTGAGTGTCCCTGCCAATTACACCTGCCTTCTACCTGACTGACTCCAATGACGCCTCCATGTGGTGGTGCGGCACTTGGCGACGGCGCCTGCGGTCATAGCTTTGAATTCTACATGTAACCGATGCTCTGCTTTGCAGCAGAGCTGAGCGAGCTTCCGACATCGACACCGAGGGAACAACCGAATGAACCACTTGGCAGCCATTACATCGTACCCCGTGCTCCACTCCATCCAGCCGCAGTGTCCATCCATTCACATCACATCGCCGCATCCACAGCCAACCAGCGACGGTCGACCATTTTGCATCCTCTGGGGCGGTGGGGAGTGGGGTGACTGCGGACAAGTAAATCAATTAGTTGGTACCCCCGCACCACTCCGCACTGATTGCAACTGCAACTCTCTCGCTCTCTCTTTCGCTCGCTTCTTTTGCAGAGTTGTGCGCAGGCTTTTACTGCTAGCTCTCTCTCCCTATCTTTCTGTCTCTTTCTGTCAAGGAGTATTGAGTGCTCGGATTCATTGGTTTTCCTCCGGCCTTGCCATCAAAATGTCCACCCTAATGCGCTTTTTGAATGCGCAAATACCGTTACGTTACTGCTTCCACGATTGCACTGTAATTCTCAACGCAACGGGCGGAAAGTTTGACAAACAGAATGAACCACAGAACGAACCCCAATACGAACCCGATTGTCGGGCTAATTAATTATTGAACTTTTACAACTGCATCGTTCTGTCTGTCTCTCTGTCTTTTTACCTGATTGCCTGCCCGCACTGCTTATGCTCAAAGAAAGCACTCACTACGCAAAGCGCTCAAACGCGCACTCTCTCTCTCTCCGCATCACACTCACACACCACCACTGGTATCGTATTCCCCCTACTCCCCTTTCCAAAGCACGCTTGCTCAGCAGCTCTGTGCTCGACCACAACCACAAGCAAACCAGAATACAGCTCCACAACAGCACCCCTCCCCCGCCCGCAAGCGACCAGCTGCAGGTAGCTCCCGTCTACAGGCAGGGGCGAGCAAAGTAAGTCTCGGCTGGCTGGGGCCAGTCCACAGCTCACAATCGCAGTCGGCGTGAGCGCGCGTCGGTTCGCGTTTCGTTCGTTTCGTTCGTTTCTGTTGTTTCGTTTTCGAAGAGAGAGCCACCGCCGCCGACACGCCGACGAGTTGCCTGCACGCGGCCGTCGGAAAAACAGTTTTTCTCTAATTTCCCATTGGCTTCCCAGCCTGAAGATATGACACCTGCTGCTGCTGCTGCTGCTACCGCCTAACGTGTACCCAACGCTTCCAGACTTACCGTTAGATCTTCCTCCCCTCTCCTCCGCTGGGCATGGCTACAACAGCGACGAGCACAACTGCAGCAGCCTCAACGAGGACACTCACAAACGCCACAGCCTTACCGCCCCGAGGCACTGCATCTCCGGTAGCCATTATGCCGACGGGTGTCAGTGCGGCAGCCGGCGTGTCCCTTGCCATGACAGCGGTACCAATGCCGTCGCATGTCCATCTGCTGGCCGGAAGCGGTTGCCAACCGACGGCAATGACGCCCATTTCGCCCACAGCCGCAGCACCCACAGGTGAGTGCTGAGGTGATAAAATGATTGGGAATAAGAATGTGCAGCTAATCCTCGTTGCACGCTTCAGAGCACTGTGAATTTGGGTGAAATTCCGTGAAGTGACAGGGATACGGGAGGAACAGAAACAATTTAAGACAAAAGACAAAGGAAACAGCCACTAGGCAAATGCTTGCTGGAAAGTGCAATGATTTGGAAATTTCACAACAGCAACGCAGCGGCAGCCTCACTCTTATACATATACATATACATATATGTATACATATTTTTGTAGGTACATACATCAACGGACAGGAGAGACAACTGGCAACTGTTTTGGTCTTTCGCACATCAGTGGCAATTTGCTTTGCACAAGTATGGGTTGTCAAATAAAATTAGTTCATGTCGTGGCGGCCATCGAGGGGCAGCTTAGAGTCAGCAGTACGGGATGGGGCAGGCAGGCAGGCAGGGGGGGCCATGGGCATTGGTGCGAGCAGCGGTCTAAAGCTTTGACTTGTCTCTAGAAGGTGTTGGAAGTTGCACAATAAATAAATAATTATAAAAGAGCTCAGCAACGGGTGCAGCGACAAACGAGACACAGACAAAGCGACAGAGAGCGGGAAAGAGAGAGAGAGATAGAGAGAGAGAGGGTAGAGGGTACATGGATGGCATACTCGTACATTGAAGTTTAAGCATAGGGCCAGAAACCATACTTAGGGCTCTCAGGTTACGTGGTGCGTGTATTCGCATTATTCTAAGAAAGCCAAGCGCATAAAAGGTGTGCACGATGATTTCTACAAAGAGAGGAGAGAGAAGAGAAAGAGAGAGAGAGAGAGAGAGAGAGTGGAGAGTGACATGGAGGAGGCAACAGCTCAGCGACTAAGCGAAAGCTCAGAGGAAGAAGTGTCGAAAATGATGAATTTTATGTTGAATTAATCCACAACAAATTCCATATATTCCCTCGCTGAAACGATGTTTGGGCCTTCTTCTCCTCTATTTAGCACACAAAACTTACATTGAAAAGGTTTGAACTGAGTTGGAGCTACAATTAGTTGAATTTCCATTGCTGCCAATCGTTTTCTGATATTATAATCCCGATCTACACATCAATATTGTCACAGTGCAGACAAACCATAAGTCGAACTTTCTCCAGAAAACTATTCTGCAGCAACTCAGAGTTGACATATTCCCTGCAGCACAGGGAAATGCATCCAGAACCAAGCTCTGCCAAGCTCTGCCAAGCTCTCCATAGATGCGGCTATAAAAAACCAGAAGCCTTAGACGACGAGTAATGCGTTGCGCGCGACAAACAAGATCAGCGAGCAGGCAGGCAGGAGGATGAGTCTCTGTGGCATGGACACATACAACAACAACAAAAAAAGAGCGAGCCAACTCCACTTTAATTTATATGCAGTGCTGAGGGAGAGGGGAGTGAAAGGAGAGTTACCGGTAGCAATAAATCAAACTATCAATTGAATTCCGTGGCGATCATCACTTGGTGGGGAGCGAGCGCAATTCGTTCGGAAACCGAGCCCGAACCATCATCGGTTTGGAGCTACTTGTGCGTCGTGCAGTGGCAGGCAGCATCTGGAGCGAGAGTCGAGCGGGGTGGGGGGAAGATTCTGGAGTGCAGTTCCCGCGATTTTAAGCCGCTTTTGCAATTGACTGAGGCGCGTCGGGGCAGTCGCATTGCCACAAATGTAGTAAATCATCGGTGGATCCTGCAGCTGGAGCTCGTTGCGGCATAAATCAAGCATAGCGGCCACAACAATTGGTGCAACATGCGAATGCAACAAATTGTCCACGCAGCATAGACTGCAAGGAGCATCTGCATGGAGCTTAATTAGTTGCCCAAGAAGGCGGCATGCCAGGCGGCCATCTACCCTCTGTGGCCCCACACACGCACACACACACACACACAGCAAGAGGTTCGCTCCATTCGATCCATCGATCGCACCAAAAAAGAGGTGTTAAAATGTGTGCAGTTCTCGCGATCAGATAAAATGTCAAAACGAACATAAAAGCTTCTACATCTGAGGAATGGCCAATTGCTGGCAGCACAGTGACAGGCGGGATCCACGATCCACGATCAACCATCAACGATCTCCGATCTCCGATCTCCGATCCGGGTTGCAGTCTCAGCGGCAACAAATTGCCAGCAGTCTGCAGAGCGTCAAGGAATTCCATAAATTCCAAACAGTAGCTGGCAGTCGTTGTTGTCGCTGCTTGGGAGTGATTCCAGCTCCACTAATGGACCGCACCGCGTCCATTATGCCCATAAACGCTGACACTTCCGCCACTGACTCTGACTCCTCTGCAGCTTGAGCTCTGTCTGTGTCTGTGCCTCTGCCTGTGACTTTGAACCTCAGCTTTGACATCGTCGATCAGCTCAGCGCGCCGAAATTTGTCCAACCATTTCATTGTCTCCTCGAGAGCTCCTCGCTTGAGGTTGCAACAAATTTCTTGGTGTTTCTGTGTCACGCGCGGAATGCCGGCAACAGCTTCGTTTAAATTCCAATTGACATTTAATGATTTTCAGCTCATTCCCTTTTATTTCCTCTTTCCAATTGCAGTCCTCACACAGCCGCACAGCCTCAGTCCAGCCGCACCAATGATGGCCCAAGGAACACCACCCACAGGCACTTTGGTGGGTGGCATCTATGGCAATGCACCTGCCACAGCCACAGCCACAGCCAACGCCAATGCCAATGCCAGCAATCTCAATGCCTTGGCCTCGCAGCATCGCTTGCTGGAACTCTCCCGCTTTGGCCTGCGAGGATATGATCTGGCGCAGCATATGCTCTCCCAGCAAGGAGCCGTCTCCAAGCTGTTAGGTAAGCAGGGGGGCAGGGGTGCAGGGAGGGCTTACATGAGTCTAGCTAATGCAATCAGCTTCCTTAGCCCTGTCCAATTTGGCATAACCGATTTGGCGGAACCACAAAACACGCGCCCCAAATCGCAATTGCCAGGTGTCGCGCCGCATTAGCCCACAGCCCACAGCCCACAGCCCCCAAAACCCCAAACCCAAGTCCGAAGCGTCCCAATCGATTTGGCTCCCTGTTGCTGGAGGTTCACGTAAACACGACAAATCGATTGGCCATCGCCGCCTTGCACACACTCCACTCCTCCACCAACCCTTCCCACCGATATCCACTATCGTGGCTGGCTGCCCGCACCACCTGTTGCCACCAGCTGCAAGTGCGACACTTGACCATGTCATTTTCAATTTGCCAACGAGCTGTGGTGCACTTCAAGTAGCTCATTTTCGTTATGAAATATGTAGAGGAACTCTAGAGTTTCGAACAATTCTTTTCGAGATTTTTTTAAGCTCTTTTTCTTTACATTTAAAGCCAAAATGCAGAACTTTCTTTGTCTTCTGTAGAATTTGTAGAATTCTTATCCCTTCATGCAATGCAAAGCTCTAGAATTAACAGCCACTGTCCGAACTTTCAAAGCTCTCTTGAGTGATCTGAAAGCTCCCAGTGATATTATAAAATGCCAACAAAGATTCCCCACTGACAGTTGCAGCATTAACATGCGCCACGTTATCATTGAGTGTTGCCACAACTGAAATGAATGGTGTGATGAATGAATTGCCACGCGGCTACCCATTCACAAATATTCATTAGCGTGGCCTTAAATCACAGCAAAACAAATGTACAAATCTATGCACAGATTCCATTTGAGCCAATTCAAATTGTGGAAAATAATTTCCGTTTTTGTATAAGTACAAATACACTGCCAGAAAGCAACGCAAATAAATACAGGTTTACCCACAAACCCTCCGCTCTCCAGTGATCTATGTCTGGAGTTTAGATTGTTTTTTCTCCGAGTGTAGCATCGCTGCTCAATTTACAAGATAAACGCGCGCGCCTGTCAACCGCTTCCGACGAATTATCAAGTCCCGAGGCTGTGACTGCAACTCGGAGTCCGAGTTCGAGTTCGAGTTCGAGCTGCTGTTTGTCAAATATTCAAATTAGCGCGCTGTTGAATGGATTGCCAGCTTCCCGACTTAATTGTCTAGTTAGTTAGTGGCTGTAGGGGCTGGGCTGGGCTGGGCTGGGGCAGGGCAGACAGGTAGCAGTTCGAGCCTCACACAATGCACTGCTGTGCCCGCAGGGCTTTTGACCCGCCCACACGGCAGAGACAGTGCCAGACACAATGTACAAATTATGCGAATGCCCAGCAGCGTTTGAAAATGATTAGAAATGTTATACAATCCCAAACCCCAACCCCACATGGAGTTCCATTAATAAACTCTCCACTCTCTCCCTCCCTTTTTTTTTTGCAGGCACTCTGCGTCCACCGGGCCTCATAGGCGGCTCGAAGCCCAAGGTGGCCACGCCAACAGTTGTCTCCAAGATCGAGCAATACAAGCGCGAGAATCCAACAATATTTGCGTGGGAAATACGCGAGCGATTGATCAGCGAAGGTAAGTAAGGGATTGGGGATTGAACAATGAGCGGCAGGCACACAATGAGGCGCAGCTACTGATCAGAGGCTAATTAACTGACAGGGAACACCCGAAAGCGAAATTGCACAACAAATGACAGAGGTTCGAGTTGGAGTTGTCTGCTCTGCGCTGTGCGCTGTGAGCTGTGCGTTCTGTGGGGTTGGGGTTTCAACTGTCGTTGGTTCGATCTGTCTGTGGTTCGATCTTTGGGCGGGCAGTGCAGGTTTACGCGCAGGAACAGGCAACAGGCAACAGTCAGCAGATCCGCAGATCAAGCCTCAAGCTTCGATCTGGATTGATGTGTTTATGGTGCTCGTAATGCGAATGCTTTTGCGATCAGTCCCCAAGTCTCCTCATTTAATGTTGTAAGAATATATTGTTGCAGTGGCGTAGATTTAGTTTTATCGATTAACTAATTTATGAACATCCGTTCCGCAACGAACTTGGAGTGGAGTGCCGTGGCTTTCCCTCCATTGATGTCGATTGATATGTAAATGTGCTCACATTTGTGTCACTCATTTTGGGCTGTGGACTCCAGGCAACGATAATCAGAGAGTCCAGCAGCCAGTGGGGACCCCAGCTTGACGACAGCTTGACAGTCGCCTGTGGGCAGTGGACATAGGCAGTCAGTTCAAATCGCTCGGGGCAATGAATCCGTTGCCAAAGATTGTCATCGCTACACATGAGACGCACAGAACACACACACACGCACACACACACACACAGGCGGAACTCCAGCCTCGAGGCAGATTCAAATCGCGAATGCCGGCCACGCTCATTACAGTCAATCTTTGAGCTCATTTGTTCGTTTTGGTTCGGTTCGGTTCGGTTCGGGGGTCATGATGTACAGCATCCGGTGCACTCATTCCTCCTCCTCCTCTTCTACTTCCCCTACAGGTGTCTGCACCAATGCCACCGCCCCCTCGGTGAGCAGCATCAATCGGATTCTGCGCAATCGCGCCGCTGAGCGTGCCGCTGCGGAGTTTGCCCGCGCTGCCAGCTATGGCTACGCCCTGCACCCCACACATCCGCATCCGTACACGAGTTTTCCCACTTGGCCCGGGCATCATCCGCTGTGGGGTGCGGTGCCGCTGCCAGGGAGCAGCAACAGCTATGGCAGTGAGGCTGCCAACTCCCACAACTCCCACAGCAACAACACGAACAGCGGCAGCGCCTGCGGGGAGAGCAGCGCGGGCAGTGGGCGGCTGTCCTTGCCGGCCATGTCCCCGGATTCGGGCAGCAGGGAGAGTCGCAGAAGCAGCCGCAGTCCGGAGCTGGATGTGGAGGCCAACCGTGTGATTGGTGAGTGCTAAAGAAGGGAGCTTAACCCTGAAGATTTACACTCTCTTCCCTTAGACATCGAGGGTGAGGACAGCGGCGAATCGCAGGACAGTGACCAGCCCAAGTTTCGGCGCAATCGCACAACCTTCAGCCCCGAGCAGCTGGACGAACTGGAGCGGGAGTTCGAGAAGTCGCATTATCCATGTGTCAGCACCCGCGAGCGGCTGGCGGGCAGAACGGCGCTGAGCGAGGCGCGGGTGCAGGTGCGTTCCAGTCACTTGCACTTCCACTGTACTAACCACATCGACCCGAAGCCCGTCCCGTCCCACTCTTGCTTTATCGACTAACAAATTGTCTCTCCATCGATTGATCAATTAGGTTTGGTTTTCCAACAGACGAGCGAAATGGCGCCGCCATCAGCGTGTCAACTTGATGAAGCAGCGCGACAGCGAGACATCGCCAACGCCCATGCCAGCTGGAGGAGCAACGTCCGAGCTTGGTCCACAGAAGCCACCGGAGCAAAGGCGTCCCCACAGCAGCAGCAACAGCAGTCCCAGCACTTGCCACAACCACCAAGAGCTGGCAGCGGCACCTCCTGCCTCAACCACAGCATCAGCTCCATTATCAATGGGCGGTGAGAACAGCGCTTTCCGCACGCTGCCCATGACTATGCCCCTGCCCCTGCCCCTGCCCCTGCCCGTGCCCCAAGCCTCAGCGGCAGCTTTTGCACTGAACTTTGCGCGCCAGTACATAGCCAAGTACATGGCCACGCCGCAGATGAGTCTGCAAACAGAGGAGCAGCGGCAGGAGCTAGAGGACGATGAGGAGATCAATGTGGAGCAGCATGATGCAGAGCAGGCGGCCTAGACCAGAGTTATCCTACAGAGTGATGAGCCATGGAACGCCATGGAGGAGAGTGCCCGCTGGGAGCTCCTTCTGTCGCTTCCAAAAGGTCAAATATTTAGTGCAATTTTTTACATAATTTATTCAGTTTTCTAGGCGTGCTGAGTACAAATAAAAACGAAAAGAATCGATTTGAAATCTATACAAAACGTGCAATAAATTCTCACGAGTTCCGAGTATAATTGGTTGGGAATTCAGAAGGATGATGATGATGATGATGATGATGATGACACCCTTCGAAAAGAGGGAAGAGAAAAATAACTCAAGTGGACAAATCTGACAATTTTGTGGCTACCAAAAAGCAGCAGCAAAGGCAACGAAATGAGACAGGGCACAGGGGGGGGAACAGGCTCTCGAGTACCTGGTTAAGATCTTCGAATCGAAGCTGAGGCTGGAAGCTGGCAACTGGGAACTGGGCACTGGGCACTGGGGACTTGATTAATGTGGCTTTAATTACATGCGCTGAGAAGTTGTCTTCGCTGTCGCTGTCGCTGTCTTCGCTTCGGTTTTTTTTTTGTCGTCAATGTGTATGCTCGAATGGATCACTGTAATTATATAGATGGCCCGAATTAAATTTTAATTTAACGCCTGTCAAATCAGAAAATCACTACGATAATCGTTCGCTTACAGCAGGCAGCAGACAGCCAACACTCACTGTACGTTCGAAGGGAAAGAATCAATCGAACTCCTACTCCAACTGCAACTCCAACTCCTACTCCACACTCCTACTCCTACTCCTACTCCTACTCCGCATTATTGATTGTAATGAGCCACCGAAGGCGTCAACTTCAGCGTCCATTTCGCTGCGTGATGATGAAAGAAAATCGACAGCCCCAGCCTGCCTGCCAAGTGAATGCAAAAAACAATTAAAATCCCGTACCTGGGGCTTTTGATGAGTCGTCGAAAAAGGCATCCACAGTGGCTTTCACTCGGATTGCTTTTGTGGCAGCTTCTTCGACTTTTGAATGGAAAAGATACGAGTCGGCGTTTGCCATTAGAACTTTGAAAATTAACAATTGGGTTAAACGTTTTGTTGACTTTTTACTATAGCTAAATGAAAGACTTATTTATGATGTATTTTGTATGTGCATTCAGTTTGTTTTAGGTGCCAAAAAGAGAGCCAGAGCCTTCAATCGGGAAGCGCTTTGAAGCGCATTTGATGGAACACAAAAAGGTAAGTTTTTGCGTGTTTCAAAATACGTTAAAAGCAGCAACAAATTGTAGTTAAAGTAACATAAATAAAGGCTCAAGTGGGGCTACAACTTTAGGCCAAATTTCGTGTGCAAAAGTGAAAAGAAAATAACTCCAGAAAGTTCCTCAAAATGCAACCAATAAAATCTCAACTTCCTGCTTCCTGCCTTGTTTATGTGTTTATGGCAACATATTAAGTGAACTATGTTTAATTTCTGAGTGTAAATACTTAATAAAAATGCAAAACGAAAGGCGTTGAATGGTAAAATGAGAGAGAGAGAGAGAGCGACACTGGGCATCCTTGCCAGTGCCAGTGCCTGTGCCTGTTAATTGCCAAAGGCGTTAGTATTAAGTGGTTTTCGTGCTTATTATAAATATCTCTTACCCACAGTGTCTGTGTGTTTGTGTAAAATCTTGAAATGGCAATCACCGACAGAAGCAAGTCGAAGAGTCCAACCAAGACAGGGCCAAAAAGGCAAACCAAGAGCAGAGCAGAGTCCACGCTTGCTAGCCCCGTCGTCTGCTTTGTTGTCATTATGTTGTGTTATTTGGCACGATTTGTTAAGCTAAGAGAAGAGCAGAGTCTGAAGCTCTTTTCGCGGACTGTGCGCGGTTGCATGATGCTGCGGATCGATTGGGCTTGAATCGATCAGCAGCGGCAAATGGCACTGGCAAAAAGCGTCTTCAGTAGCGATCACTACATGGCATAGGACCGCGAGTGGAGCTCCCCTCGATAGATGCCGCCTTGAACTGCTGGCTGGAGGAGCGGGAGCCAGGCTGGCGTCGGATCGCGCATATAATTGTCGCATGCAAAGATCGCGGCCAACGGACATTGGCAGCGGTGACAACGACACCCGAAGGAGCAGCAGCAGCAGCAGCAGCAGCAGCAGCAGCAGCCGCAGTGGGACATGAAAGGTAAACGCATTGCTGCGACGATCGGGAATAAGTAATTCACTTAACGCTTTAATATCGCTGATAAATGCAGAACAATCTGCTGCGCCCCTGCACAGTCTCCTCTTGAATACATTTCCACTTAATTGGTGCAATTTCCAGCGAGCGATTTTTATTTTATTCGCATGCGTTTCTCATCCTGCGAGTCTGGGCAGACTTTGTGGCTGCGGCGTGCGAACAGTCGGAACAGTCGGAACAGACACTGGCAGACCATGGCAGCCGCTCATTTGCATAAATTCGATATTCATTTGCACGAAAGATGTTGCAGCGAGCATTGTTTTTGCACGTGTTGACATGTTTAGGAACAGCAGTGGAAAGGCACCGGATGCACTGCCCCAAAAAGCGATGATGATGATGATGATGAAGTGTGCATCCTCCAGGGGCAGCCAGCAACCCATCGACTTCTATGCGAGTTTAATGCAAGCAAAGGCCTATAATTTGATCGTATCCACACAATAACTCAGCGGCCAACCCGCTCGCTCTCTCTCTCTCTCTCTCTCTTTCTGTGGCAAAATGCCCAGTGGCGCTGCTTGGGCCTGTCTGGGGCGTTGCCTGGCAATGACAGAGCCGATAATGGATGCGCAGCAATGCCATTTCTGGCAGTTGGGAGTGCACTTCAGCTCCTGATAAGACCACCAGCAGGCCAGCAGAACGCAGCTCAGTCTCAGTCGCAGTCGCAGTCTCTCCTCTCTCAGTAGTTGTTGAAAGCGTTGAGCGAGTGCGCAGCCGTGCCCGCCCGGGCTCACTTAGCGCGGACTGCAGCATAACTCAGAGGGAGAAACTTTTCGGGGTGTGTGGCTCTGCTGCATTGATCGGATTACCCGGCAGGCTTTTCAATTCAACACATCCTCCAATTATAAACCACACACACATGAATCTCTCTGCCTGTGTGTGCTCGGACTCGCCCCCAAAGTCAGTGCTGGGCATGGGGCGTGCGACGCAAATTATAGCAAAGCGGGCGACTGACTTGAATAAATGCGCGATTTTTGGAAATTGAAAAAGGAAATTAACGATCGTTCAACTGCCAATTGCAAAAATATTGTGCATAATTATATGCTAATGCCCAGAATTTGAATTATGTTTGGACCAGCCACAGTGGGGAAAGGAAATCTTTCTGGCGGCGCCTTGCCATCAGCTCTTGTAATTGGTGGATCGGCGGTAGGTAGAGCCCACCCGCGGTCTGTTTGGATTGAAGTCGCTCATGTAAGTAATTTCCCTGTCCCGACAGACAGACAGACGGAAGGCAGGAGATTGATTACTGTTGCGAGTGTGATAAATCGCTGTTTTTATTAACTTTTTCGGCATGACGCTGCAGAAAATGGCATTGCAATCGATCCCCTTGGTCGGCACATGAATAGCCCCTCAATATGGGAATCAGATCAGCGTGATATTTCGTTAAATTTGTTCGAATTCGTCATCGGGTAGGCAGATCAAAAGGAGAGAGCATGTAATTCTGCTTCTGCGGCAGCCACTAATCGTCCTAAATATATTTCTAATTATTCATTGAGGATAATGTAAAAGGAGTGGGAACAGAGATAGGAAGTTGCCTGTTTTTGCAGTTTGTTTTTGTACACATGCAGCAGTAATTGATTTCCGCCAATTCAAATTCTGCGGCACAATTTCGCAACTATCGACAATCCAAATGTAGTATCGATACTTAATATAGCTGTTATCGAATGCTTCCGATTTCACGATTGAACATTTTTAGTTGGAACCTTATTTTGCAAGAAATCCAATAAAAGTAAGTCCTCAAAACTAGTCAATCTGGTGGATAATTAAAGTATCAAAAGAAAAATTATTATATTTAACATCAGGGCTGAAGGTCGGATCTTGATAGTAAGATTAAGCCGAATATCAAAATCGAGAAATATACATGCATACATATATACAGAAGAGGTCAGTTGAATATTTGAATTTGTAAAATATAAGGTCATAAAGATACAAATCAATAACAATCAGTATTTAAAGTATGTCAAATTGATTCTTCAAACGGATTAAATTATTGTTTCACTGTTAAAAGTCTTTGCAAGCTGGTAATATTAAATAGAACATCAAAATCGTGGAATTGGGCTTGTATATGAAAGTGTGAACGCAAGGTATGGCAAGTAGGTAAAACAGGACGAGCTTTTTTTAGGCGCCCACCTTTTCCGCACCTGTTGAAAGGATCACTAATAGTGCCCGCGAGAGCATTTGGCGGGAGAGGATTTCCCTAACCGTTTAGACACAGGAGAGGATTTCCCTAACTGTTTAGACACAGGAGAAGATTTCCCTGACCGTTTAGACACAGGAGAGGATTTCCCTGGCGAATTTCCATCACGGGGGATGAAATCGCCGTGCAATTTACCTGGCGGCACTGGAATTTTTGTGACGTATTTACCTGTTGTCGACACCTTAATTTTTGGTACAAATTTCGCACGATGAAAGCTCTCTTGCCGTGTTAAGGGACTTTGAAAGCTGTTTTACCTTGCGAAGGGAATTTGAACAACTAATGAGACAACTTCCCGTTCACTCTCCCTTTCAGAAAAATTATAATAATTTCTTATCTCTTTGGTTGCGCGCGCTATTTTTCAAAAATTTGTATGATATCAGTTAACAAACATGTGTCTCTACATATTACATACACTTACATACTGTATACAAAGCTTTCTTGCTTCCAGAAGGGTTGATTTGAATATTTGAATTTGTGAAATATAAGGTCATAAGGTATACAAACCAATAACAATTTGCATTTAAAATACGCAAAATTAATTTTTCAAACTGATTAAATTATTGTTTCAGTGGTGAAAGTCTTTGCATGCTTGTAAAATCAAATAGAACATCAAAACCGAGGAATCTCATTTAAGACTACGGTATATTTACGGTATGTGTATTGGTATATTTTTGTATATTTACGAAGCCCTTACGGTATATTTTATCGATAATTCCGCGGTCACAATTTCGCTGTAGCGATTAAAAAAAAAAATTAAAAATTACCAATATATCACTTAATAATTTTTACAAACAAATTCGCTGGTTTATTCAATGTGTTTAACTAAGTGGCAGTGCAGACTAGTTGGCATTGAAGGGTCTTCAGGGGCTGGGGAGTCGTAAGCGCGTGTTTGGTTTCCAATATTGGCAGCACACACCGCCAGCGTCAGCAAAAAAGTTATCAGCTGCGAAGAAGAAAAGACAAAAGCCAAAAGCATTGAGTGCCACAAAGAGTCGCACGTAGCAAGTAGCTAACTGGCTGTTTTGTTGCCATGGCCAGTCCCAGGACGCGACGAGTGCTCCAAGAGCTGAAGCCACAAGATGATAATTCGGTAAGTCTGTCGCCCGAAATTCACTTCCGCCTCACACACAAACTGCACATACACATACATACATACACTCACTCGTAGATGTATTTATTTTAATAAGTCATATTTGCACATTGAACACACAGAAATGCTTCGAGTGCGGCACACACAATCCCCAGTGGGTGTCGGTCACCTACGGCATTTGGATATGTCTGGAGTGCTCCGGCAAGCATCGCAGCCTGGGCGTTCATCTGTCTTTCGTGCGCTCCGTGACGATGGACAAGTGGAAGGACATTGAGCTGGAGAAGATGAAGGCGGGCGGCAACCGCAATGCACGCGAATTCCTGGAGGATCAGGCCGACTGGAGCGAACGGGCACCCATAACGCAGCGATACAACTCCAAGGCTGCCGCTTTGTACCGCGACAAGATTGCGACACTGGCCCAGGGCAAGAGCTGGAACCAAAGCGAAGCCGAAGCGCGGCTGGGCAGCAGCAACAGCCAGAGCGGCAATAGCGGCAGCAGAAGCTCGCAGTCGCATGCCAGTGCAACAGGTTACGGCGGCTCCTCCGAGGGCTATCAGAATGGAGGCGGCAGCTATAGTGATGCGCCCGGCTATCAGCAGTACCAGACACAGGAATTTCGCGATCAGAAGGAGGAGTTTTTCAGCAAACGTCAAGTGGAGAACGCTTCGCGCCCAGAGTATGTGCCGCACCCTTAACCATGCTCGCTGATATTTCATTTTGTTGATGTTTGCAGAAACTTGCCACCGAGTCAGGGCGGAAAGTATGCCGGCTTTGGTTTCACACGTGAGCCACCGCCAAAAACGCAATCTCAGGAGCTCATCGACTCGACACTGTCCACGCTGGCCTCGGGCTGGAGTTTGTTCTCCACGAATGCCTCAAAGTTGGCCAGCACCGCCAAGGAGAAGGCTGTTACCACTGTCAATTTGGCATCAACGAAGGTGCGTTAGTCGCAGGATAGCTATAGCCTCAGATATGCTTTTTTCCTTTCTTATTTTGTATTGCTTATTGTTTGTTTGATTTGTTTTCTTCCCTTTTTGGTTGTAGATGAAAGAAGGCACTTTGCTAGAAACCGTTCAGAGCGGTGTTACAGACGTGGCCTTCAAGGTCGGTAGTTAGTTTAGTCCCCTACTGCCACATTAGTTCCCCACAAGTGCTAAAAGTCTCCTCCTTTTTCTTGCCCACAGGTTACAGACATCGGCAAGCGCGGCTGGAATAACTTGTCGGGCAGCAATGTTTCGTCCCCGCAGAGCGGCTACAACGATCCCAATTTCGAGGACAATCCCTATCAGCAGCGTTCCAATTCGGTGGGTGGCAACTTAGCCGGAGGCTTGGGCCAGCAGAGCGGCGTCAGCGACAGCGACTGGGGTGGCTGGCAGGAGAATGCCAACAACAAGACGCATCTGACCAGCTCCAGTTCGTATCACACGCAGCTAAGCAGCAACAGCGGCAATGCCACGGCTGGCCTCACGCACGACGCCGACTGGTCTGGCTTTGAGGCTTCGTCGTCCAACTACCAGAGCGCGGAGACCTCCTACCAGAATGCCCCATCGGGCGGACAGAGTTCACGCCGCAACATGAAGCTGCAGGACACCTCGCAAAAGCTGAGCGAAGGCTTCGACAATTTGGATGTGAAAAATGTGAAATCGAAACCGGCCGCTCCAGCGGGCGAAAAGGTGAACGCCGAAGATGATGCCTGGAACTTGCTAATGAACTAGAGAGATATCCCTTCCCCCCAACCCGATTCATTTTCCCGAACCGCAGTGTATTTATCCGTTCGTTGAGTTTCCATTTTTGTTTGTTTTGTTATCCTCATGTGAGAAAAAGAAGCTGTTGTGCGCGCATTTAATGTAATTAACTGAAACTCCCCCTCAAAAAAACACTTGCATGCTCCAATTTTGAAAATCAGAAACAGAAAGTGCAACTATTCTCGTTCATTTCCACAGTTTAGACCAATTTTATATAGACCTACAACATAACGAATTATTTAGCTGAAATATAAGTGTATCTTGAAACAAACAACATTCAGAAGTGCAGAGAAAATACATATTATGTTATCAACTGTAATACAGACTTTTTTGGGATTTATTAAGGTCACAGATGAAACATGACCCTGGCCTCCATTCAAAAATATGTTTTTTTCAATGTAAATGTAAACTGAGCGCGCTGTTAACTTAACAGCGAATGCCATCGATAGCTGAAATGGTGCTACATCGAAAGTTACACGGAAAATGGAAAGCTGTTAAACTCAAGGTACCCTTTAAGTAGAACGGGGCTTAGTGAGTTAATGCTGTTTTTATCCCTGCTTTGTTTTCAAAGAGAGAATTATATATATATATTTTAAGGTCCATTCAATAATACAGGGTATCCAAACACCCATACGCATGATTCTGGCAACATCACCTCTTACGTATTTTACCGTTAGCAACATAATTGTATGGGCCAGCAATACGCTGCGAAAGGTGAGCAGCATGCCGGACTACTAAGCAGCATTGTACCCCAACATTTTCATGGAATAAGCAACATTTAGTACCCTTGGAGGGAAGGATGTCCTCGAATTGAGAAAATGCTGGAAATCTTTAGCTCTAATTAATGAAAATAACAAGTATTTCTGCTTTGGAGAGATATCTTAAAAACATTAAAACATTAAAAATCTTAAAAACATTGTTTAGAGCTCTTTCATCTAAATCGTTAATTTTCTAAACAATCCCATAAAAGAAGTCATGAAGAGTAGGCCAATCTTGTGGCGAATGTAATGTACAATCGTAGAAAATTGTAGTTCCACGGCTGAGAGTCTTAGTTTCATGGCAATATTAAACAGAATATTAAAATCGAGTAAATATGTCATTGACCGAGACCGATTAACCTTCTGTTGACCAATGGGTGTCTACGTGCAAACTAAGAAATTAATGAAACCTAAAGATTTTTAACGCAGTTTAGCTGAATGAAACGGTGCCCATTCGAATTTATTCGTAAACAGGGGGTATGGGTGGCTACAATAAACATTTACAAGCAGTTTTATTCCGCCAATTTGGGCAAAGTGCATACCTATTTAAAAGGCGGGCGTTTAGTGTGTTAAGTTTGAACAGTCACTCGGAATGAGCCATTCACAGTAGGGACTAAATACCAAAAACATTAAAATTAAAATTTCTTGACCAAGCACTCGCTTACTTTTCGTTTTATTCAAAATTTAAAAGGCAACGATCGCCACACACACATCCTATATATATCCTATATCCCCGGGCACAAGAGCAGTGAACCAACGCGGTACGTAGAGCCTGTCGTCGTGGAATTCGCATTGTGGTCCGCTTTCTTCTGCATATCCATATCCAGTTGAGTGTGTGTGCGTGTGCGACGACTGCAGAACAAAATTTTGCCAATTTGGCAACAATTTGCGAGCAATTCGGTGAAATTTGAGTCATTACCCATCCGGAGAAACTGACCAAAAGGTGTGCATAAGGTGCGAGAAAATGCAGTAAGGCCAGAACAGCCTTGGGAGTGCGCTACTCCCATGGGAAATGGAGTAGTAGAAAGTTCCAGTATTGCGTGGGTTCTCACTCTCTCTTACCCCCGCTTTCTCTTCGCTCACTTGTGGGACAGACATGTGCGTGTGTGTGCGTGAGGCTGGTGCCAATTTTTCAAGGTTTACGGGAAACGCGTTGGTTTGGCCTTCAAACCAATATATGTATCGACTCCAAGAAAATCAATGCACTGATTGCAATGGTTTTCAATGCTGACTAGTCCCAGGCTTTAATTATAACATTAAAATGAGAGCACACACACACACACAGCCATCTGCTGTGTGCCTTGCCTGCCAATTGGATGACTTCATCTGCGGGGAAACGATTTTTCACACAAGCGAAACTGAATTGTGGGCTTTTCGCACATGTGCACACTGGTATTAGCCTAATTGCTGATTATATACTTGTTTATTTGCAGACCAGACCAACCGCTTGACATTGTATATGCCAAAATGCAACAGCCATAGGAGTAGGAGGAGCCCGCTAACCGTTTTGCCAAACGCATTTCCAACACCAAGTGTAGCCCCAGGCCCCTAGTCACTGCCGAGACTCCACACACAGCAAGTAAAACTCAAAACAAGTACACACGAGTCTGGAGAATGGTCAGAAAGCAAGTTGGAATTGAAAACAACGCATCCCTAGAAGTAAGTAAGCAGCAGTTGGAGCATCAGCAGCAGCAGCAGAAGCAGGAACAGCCGGAGCCAGGCCAGCGCATCGATATTGACTTGACGCCGGATCCGCCTACCAATTTTGCACAACAGGCCCATGCCATCTACGCACCACTGAAGCCATCGACACTTGCCACCAGCTATGAGCACAGTGCGAGCCACAACTTCAATAGTCTGCAACATGCGCAGCTTGCCAATATGCCCTACAACTTTCAGTCGGCACTGCCGCCGCCGGACACTGTCTCCAGCTCGGGCAATGGCATACCCATATCCAGTATGCCCACTGAAATACCAGCGGAGGACGAGGAGCGACTCGAGCGCATCTTTAACCAGTTGGACCGGGATGGTGACGGCAAGGTCGACATACACGATTTGTCGGCGGCGCTGCACGAGTTTGGCCTGTCGAGCGTCTATGCGGAGGTGAGTGGTGGGGCAGGGGTGGCATGCGGCAGTCTTTGCCAAGTGTCGTTGGGATTAACATAAATTGGCCACATGGGCCAGTGTTCGGCCCCGGGGTGCCTAGCAAATCTTTCGAATTGTAATGCTTTTGTTGCGCTATTCTATAGCAAAACAGCGAAAGATCAATAATATGTGTCCTTGACAGAGCTGCAGCGACAAAAGCTGATGCGAATCTAATTTATACAAAACTTTTGTTGAGGGAATGTACTCGAATTCCCCGATAAAGCATAAAGATTGTGGCTAAGACAGCTGAGATTTGTATGGTTTCCACACAGCAGAAGCCTTTATGATAGGAAACTTTTTGTTTTATTGATTTCTAACTAGACTGGGGTGTGTCATGGCTAAGTAATTGATGCATTTCTCTCTCCATACTCCTGCAGAAATTCATGCAACAGTCGGACAAGAACCAAAGTGGCAACGTGGGCTTCGCTGAATTCCTGCACTATGTGCGGGAGCACGAGAAGAACTTGTGCCTGCAGTTCTCGCACCTAGACAAAAATCGTGATGGTGAGTGTGAACTCTATTATTTAATATACAAATTATGACATTGACTTGCAGGCAAAGTGGATTTGGAGGAGCTAATATCCGCTTTCAAGGACCTGGGCCTGGAAATTGATGTGGATGAGGCTAGAAAACTGCTAACCAGGTGCGAAGTTTAACATATTTAATGGCTCTCTTTATTGATCGTGTACTGCTCTATTTTGCAGAATGGACAAGGATGGCAGCTTGAACATAAGCTTTAACGAGTGGCGCGACTTTATGCTATTGGCACCCTCCACGGACATACACGATCTGATCAAATTTTGGCGGCACTCTACTGTAAGTGTGCCGAACAGCAGAGCGCTATCTAGTTATGTAGCAAAAATAGTGCAAGCCTTAACGTGTAGCGCTTAATTGTAGTCTTCCTTCCTGTACTGTCCAGTGAGTGGTTTTTGCCCCAGAGGGGGGGAAAAACCTCTCACTATCATATCTCGGCGCTTGTGTTCTGTCGCGTTCGTTCTTTTCCCACAGACATTTTGTAGTTGTTTAACGTTTTCGTATTTTTTAAACTAATTGTCCAATTTTATACTCTTATACCCACGTTTCGTTACCATGCGTCCGTTACCATATCCAAAAAACAAACCAAAAAACACTCCACCATAAACGCTCGTTACATAAACGACATATAACTGCCTCTGTAGTACCTACACACACACAACTCCTGACTAACTGAGGAAGATCTGAAGGTACATATCGTGATTCTAAGATTACCATTACTATTGTTGTAGTCCTCACGTAGTTTTGGGGTCACAGTCACACAACCCACCGACACATTCCCATCCTCTCCCATCAGACCTAGGCTTACCCATTCGCTCTTGTAGATCATCATAGCCCATAGTTCGTTCATCTGCATGTCCAAGTACTGACTGTTGTATGCATTTCACTTCCAGAGAGATCGAGATCGAGATTTTGTAATCCTCCCGCATGGCATAAGCTCACGCTCTGTGCCCTGACGCAAGAGTTTTGTATATATTTCATCATCTGATTTAAGCGGTACACAAACTACCTAATCAAGCACATAATTTTAATGTTTTTATTTTGTGTTTTAATGGAGGCCTGTCAGGGGTAGTGCCTGCCGCTTATCGGGATGATTACTGTCGTTTGTGTGTGGCAAGGTGACGAAGCTAACGCCCGCTTTTGTTGTCTGCATAATCATTCTGTTTACATGCGGCGACAGTGCCCAACAATTGATATCAATTCCACACAAATTTGACAGTCCCCTCCGCACTCTGCTGCTCTTTTTCAGTCTGCCCAGAAAGTAGCAGCAGAACAGCTTGTCGATCCTCCCCGAAACAGCTTTCAAATCTCAGCTAATCGCTCTTCGATGCTTTTTTTTTCGCGATTGGCAGACCAGACCTGAATCTTAAGGTCAACCAGCTTCAAGTCCACTCCAGGAGCTGCTTTTGTTGCCAAGTGAGCAGCCGGTTCTTGGCCCCTGACGACTGCTAAATGCAGATTGCTGACTGCCTATTTTTAGCCAGACCCAAAAGTAAGAGTTAAACGTAGCCTGCCACAGAGCCTGGGACTCTAATGAGGCTAGACTTGTAATTAAGTTGCCTTTCCTTGCGATGATTGATTGACCAAATGTCTGATTCGCATCAAGATTGAACGCATTCCCTCACTGATAAGACCGTTTTACTTGTTCTCTCTGTCGTCAGTTGCACAAATATTTACGCGAATTCTCGAATTTTTATTGCTGTTGTTGCTTTAATCAAAGTCCAGTCCAGTCTGAAAATTGTTGACCGGCTTGGAAACTACAACCAAAAGGTCCCAGAACTAGTGATAACCTGTCCGCACGTTCTGGGAGTCACTAAACAGAACTGGAAACGATACGTTGGTGAATTGTTTAACATTCTAAAAATAAAGTTTCTCCGTATCGTGGCTGAGAGTTTGTACAAACAATGTAAAGTGCAAGTACCGTTGAATCCCTCACTCATTGTTATATGACATTCCTAAAGTAAAGTTAATAATGATGATTACGGTGACTATCACTTGGCCAGTGCATTCGTCAACACATTGTACGAGGCATGACAGACGCCCAGACTCCCTGCAATGAGCTGTCGAATGTCGTGTCTAAATTGTGGTTCATCGTTTCCTTTGAGACAACATCAATTTGGCACACAAATTGGTCCCGTTAAATATTCAATTGAGTGGCACACAGCACGACACTGGGTGGCCTTGAGCAAAGGCACTCGCTGGGGTATCATAAATTCATTGAAACTTGTTAAGAAAGCCACTAGGCATAGGCGCTGGGCTGGCTGCAGTCACCACTTGAAAAATGGGTGTGTCTAGCGGTTTTCTCGAACCCTCATTGTGGCTTATCTCCAATAATAGAATCTGATATTTGATAAGGCTAAACCGCTGTTGTTTTGCGGATTTGTCGTCGCATTTTTAATATGTTTTCAGTTGACGACGATCCAAAATATTCCTTTGGACTGGTCATTGGATTTGTCCTTGTCAAAACCAAGTTCTTGGTGACGTATGCGCCTGAAATATCAGCTGTAAAGTTTCCACGTCCAAGTCCCAAGATCACCCACCTATGGCGCAGCAGCCATGACGCTGGAGCGTCATCCCCAGCCAGCCAGCAGTCAGTCAGTCACACGCTTGTCATGTGGGCTGGCTATCAGACCCTTGGTATTCACCGAAATCGGCCCAAACCGGTTCCACACGCGAAAAGTCATGAAACCTGTAATCAAATGCTGCCAAATAACTGTCAATATCGCCTTGCCCATTGACTGGGAGTTAAAGTTTATTACGACTAGACGTCGCTCTCTCTTTAAATACCTTTTAAGCGTAGAAATCAGGGGTATGTTGAGTAGAGATTGCACACGGGGACTAGCAGGACTCTCGCTGTCAGTCGCTAAAATGCTTCCCGAAGCTTCCCTAGCTATAAGAAGACGACAGAAAGAAAAATTAGCTGGAAAAACACCCAATATTTTGTTTTGGTGTTGTCCTGGTGGCTGTCACCATCCTCTAATCAAATGTTTTCCCCCAATCATTGTTTTCCAATAACATTTCTAATTGTCGAGAAGCCTCCGCAATGCTGCCGGAGGGCAGTTTCAAAGAGGGGTGGTTGGGGTGGCTCACAGCCCGACACGCGCAACCCACTAATAAAGAGCTGGTGCTGCCAGCAGCACAGTGGGGCGGAGAGATAGCGAGAGAGAGCAAAAAGCACAGTGCGCACGACAAAATCGCGAAGCTTCTTCGTCGATCGTCGCACCATGCTCTCAGTTGTATTTCGTTTGGCTCGCGTGAAGGTTGTGTTCGCGCATTATAACACTCTCAGGCCCCCACTTTGTTGCTGGAGTGTAGCAGTTATATAATTGAGCCTGAAACGAACAACTGCTTTGTTCTCTTTCGCGACAATCTTAATTCGCGAATATAAAGAATCGAGCAAAGTCTAGCCTACACAGCTGTGCGGCTACAGTGGCGAGGAAAATTATAAGAGAGCTGTGCTGCATATATTTTGTAACAGCTTCGAGTGAAAGTTTGCTTTTGCACTTGCCACAGTGAAAGCCCAAATTCCGGGCACACGCATTGAAGCGGAAGTAAAGCGGACCTGTTATCTGTAATACTGGGCTTCAAAGGAACCCCCGAAAGCAGTGTAGTGTAGTGACAAAAAAAAATACTTAACACAAAATAACACAACAAAATGCTGCGGAATAGCACATATCACTACAATTTGCCAGTCGATTATCACAACATTCAGCAGATGGCAGTCGCTGGCGACATGATGGAGGATTTCGTTGTCATATTCCGTGACATGATGGGACGGGTAGGTGCTCCGTTTAGTGCTTCAGTTGATACTCCACTCCACTTCATCCACCGCCATCTCAATAGCTCTGTGGCCGCATTGTGCAACGGAAGCTGACTCATTGCGCGTTTATCTTATCGTTTTTGGTTTCTCCCCGCCAAGTTCGAATGAGCTAAGTCCCACTTTCCTGGAAGTGGCAACACTTGGCTTCGCATTCCATTAAGCTCATTCGTAACGGTGGTATGCAGCACCCTGTGCTGTGCACCTTACACAATTCGTTGTGCGTCGCGGTTTTAGGTTTTTCAATTACATTGCACCATGAGCCATAAGGGGCGCATGGCAACAGACCGCCAAAAAAACCAGTTTGTGTCTCTCCCCGTGTCTTGATCGCTTCGATCGCCGACATACTTCACTCACGCATACACACACACGCACGCATTTGCCTAAGCTTTGCGCTGCTCTCCCGCTCTCTTTCTCTACAGAGAGCGCGCGTGTGTGTGTGTGTGTTTGTTGCGCGTCTGCCTGCTTGTTGCCAAGCGCTTAAAAACGTCATGGCTTTTGATCTCCCTCATAAAATTTGTGAACGTTTTCTGTACATTTCTGTGTGTGTCTTGAGTTTATGTGGGGGCGCTGACTCAGTGCCCCTCCTTGACCCGCTGCCCTGCCCTGTTGTGTTTGTGGTCAGGCCCGGCCCCCACGTCAAATTGTGACGTCAAATGCGTCAACAGTTTGCCCTCTCTCTCTCTTTTATAAACTTGTTGATTGAACGTGCTCTTACATTGTTGTTTACCCTCGCACTGCTGACGTTTGCATCTTCGTCTGCCTTTGGTGGAGGGGGAAAAACACTTTGGAGATGGAAATAACGTCGGGCAAATTCCACAAACGGAACAGAGTCTGTCGCTCGGTCAACGCCACTCCATTCCAATGGGGTTGGCATTCCAAGTCCAAGGTGGGCTGCTCCCTTGGCACCATTTCGCTTCAGGTCTTGCATTGGCCATGGAATCGATAGCTTCGGACTGGTCTTGGTCAAGCGAGCCCATTGTTTGATCGAATGCTAACCATTGAAACTTTTAATAACCCGATTTGGCTGCCATTCCTTCCACAGCCAATTCGACTTCTACTTCCACGTCTGTGAGCCAAAATCGTGGCAGATATTTTAAAAATAGATTATTTCGTATAAAGAAAAGAAGCTTTTTTTGCTGTCATGTGCCTAGCTCTATATATAAAATAATTATCTATAAAAATTCGGAAATAATTAATTCCCAACAGGAATGACAATGCACAACAATTTGGCAAATTTTCAGCCACTTCAATCATTATCTTACATTTTAAATGATCCCGAGAACCCCACCAACTTTATCCCCAAAATAAAACATGAGAGCAAAGTTCAGATATAAATTGTAACCCTGAAATATGCCGTTGTTATTTGCATGTTTTTTGTCTCTTTTTATGGAAGCATGATGATGGGTGTTTGACTTTTGTACCCTGTAGTCGTTCGCTTATTTAAACATCATAATTGACTTCAATGCCATCCATCACGATCAAAGGGAAATGACTTTTTTTTGAATTTCACCTTGAAAGTCCCTCACCCCCTGGGGAATCGTCTTCCCAAAAACCCATATTCTAGCACTCAGCAATCATCAATCGGATTTTTTCCATTGGTTTCCGTTTGTTGTTTGTCCGCCGCCGTCTGAGAGCTTTCGGAATCACAAGACCTGATAATTGGGGTTTCAGTTTCGCGGTTTCGCAGTTTCGCAGTTATCATGCTCAGACAGCTTTTATTTTGTTATTTTCTTTGAGTAGCTTATCAACTAATAATTCGTTTTTAATCGCCAGAGAAAGCCAAAAGCTAGCGAATGTTCCTTCTTTCATTCCCTAATTTCTTCAAGTTTTACACAAATTGCACAACCAATTGGCAGGGCGGCCACAGAAAATCGAGAAAATTAAATATATCGTGGAGGCACGACCGACCGGGATGGGGATACACAAAAATACACTATACATACACACTATGTAAAGATGTATGCACCACCGATGCACAAACTAATGTGAATGATATAACCTTTGTTTGGCGCTAGAATTTGCATTTTGCTTCTTGCTTCCGTAATGCTCGGCGTCCCGTCTTGCTTCTACTGCTGGGTGGCTTGCCCTAGACTTGCTAGTACTGATTGAGAAGCGATTGAGCCAATTTAAACTGGAGCTAACTTTCAGGAAGACTGGAGTGGGCAGGAATGGCTGCGTTCGCTAGCGGCCATATATCAAGAAGACGAAGCTGTACGGGTACGGGTACGGGGTTAGAGTCCCAGCACAACCACTCTTAAAGTAGACTCTCATTCCATTCATTTGTAGCTCTTTGTTAAATGTAATCTTTCCCGCTTTTACGACTTGCAAGTGACCTAAGATTTGGATTTTTGATAATTGCAGTACCTCGACATTGGCGAGGATATGAATGTACCTGATGACTTCACGCAAAAGGAAATGCAAACGGGCCTTTGGTGGCGACACCTTGTGGCCGGTGGCATTGCCGGTGGAGTGTCGCGAACGTGCACAGCACCATTGGACAGAATCAAGGTCTACCTTCAGGTGAGTCGCTCAACCCCAAAGATATGACATAGACAAACGATAACCAAACGTTTTTTTTTTCTTCACAGGTTCAAACGACAAGAATGGGAATCTCAGAGTGTGCACAAATCATGTTGAACGAGGGCGGATCGCGTAGCATGTGGCGCGGCAATGGCATCAATGTCCTCAAGATTGCACCCGAAACGGCGCTTAAATTTGCGGCCTACGAGCAAATGAAGCGACTGATTCGTGGCGAGGATGCCAGCAGACAGATGAGCATTGTGGAGCGCTTCTATGCGGGGGCTGCAGCAGGCGGCATTTCTCAGACCATCATCTATCCCATGGAAGTATTAAAGACGCGGCTGGCGCTACGCAAGACGGGACAGTATGCGGGCATTGCCGATGCCGCGGCCAAGATCTACAAGAACGAGGGTGCGCGCAGCTTCTATCGCGGCTATGTGCCCAACATTCTCGGCATTCTGCCCTATGCGGGCATAGATCTGGCCGTGTACGAGACACTGAAGCGGAGATACATTGCCAGCCACGATAACAACGAGCAGCCCAGCTTCCTGGTACTCCTGGCCTGCGGCAGCACATCGAGCGCGCTGGGACAGCTTTGCTCGTACCCGTTGGCACTCGTGCGGACACGGCTACAGGCACAAGGTAAGCATTGATCACTTTTTGCTATCCGCCAGTAGTTCTAATTTTGTTTGTCTTTGCAGCCGCCGAAACAATTACCAACCAGAAGCGTAAGACGCTGATTCCCCTGAAGAGCAGCGATGCGCACAGTGGACAGGAGACAATGACCGGCCTGTTCCGCAAGATTGTGAAGCAGGAGGGTCTGACGGGACTGTACCGAGGCATAACGCCAAACTTCCTCAAAGTGCTGCCAGCCGTCTCCATCAGTTATGTCGTCTACGAATACTCGAGTCGGGCGCTGGGCATCAAGATGTCGTGAGGTGTTTTCCTACTTTCGATGAGGTTAACTCTCTCGGCGCTTGCTGGCTGTGGCTGTGCGTTGTCTGCGGTGCGGATAGTGCTGCTGCCACGGACAGTGCGCTCCATTTCTGTATACTACTAGACATGTGGTAGGGTTTAGGTGCATGTGGCAAAGGCGGCCGCCACTCGCTCTCTGCTCCATCTGCCTCAAGATGGACTAACTGCTGCTTTTCCTTAAGTGTAAACCGGCCGCTTCCATGGTGTAATCCTTTACATTTATAGTTGAATTAGTTTTTGGTTATTTTCTTCTTAAAATATTACAAAATAAGTGATACTATGGCTAATTTATTTATAAATATGTAAAGTTGATAATGTATATGAGGAAAAGATGCCGCGTGACAGACGTGAGCCCCCAGATCCCAGGCAGTTGCCGTTGTAACTATTAAGCTCTAATTTATTTAAACTCTATGTACGGTATAGGCTATGTCGGAACAATCCCTCAGTTAAACTGCGCGCAGAAAGAGTAAAGAAAAGAAAACACAAACCAAAAACGAAAGCAGAAAACGGACTAAAACTAGGCTCTGAATAATATTTGAGGCCGCACGCGTGAGTTCGTTTGGCTGAAATGTGAAAATCAAATTGAAAATGGATATTTTTTGGCAGCGTTTAAGGCTTGTACAACAAAAAGACATTAAAAACTATACGATGTACTCGGTTTTTGGCTTACACAAAATTATAAGGAAAAACACTTAACGTTTACAATGTGATGATAATAGTTGTTAATATACATTATATATACAATACATACAAACATACATATACCTACTACCTATTACCGACTATGTGCGCTTCGGAGAGCTGTCGCGGCTGACATTTTTTTGTAGCATTTTATTTGTTAAGTTTAGCCAAACACTTTTCACTTAGATCGACACAAAATGAAAGCCAACGAGATTAAATGTGACTAAAAGCTAACAAATAATAGTGAAAACAAACAACAATTTAATTTATTTAAACATCATGTGAACACCCAACCCCAAACACCGACCACAATCTTAAGTTTTGGATTAATTTTAAGGATTAAAGTCATTCATAATGATTCTGAATTTAAAAAGTATCTTTAGATATGTATGATTTGTACCTTACACCTAATTAGCCAATTGAATTTTTGCATCAACTGTTAGTGTAAAAAAGATTTTTTATTTCCCAAAACAAAGCATTTTTTAAGCCAGAAAGTCTGTTCAAAGTTCATTTCTCAAACATTTTATTAATGAAATTTATCATGAAATATCACGCAAACAAACAAACAAACACACAAACATTTATCAATCCAAATAAATACAAATATTTAAACTGAAAATGGTACACACCACACGTGATTTTTTTATAATTTAACACAAGTTTCGGCTCTACAGGATTTACTTTACGGATTTGTTCTAGTCAGACGCGTAACCGTTATTTGATATCTTTCTTTGACACAAATTCAACAACTATAATGTCCAAAATTACTACTAAATCTGTACTCTACTCTACTCCAGGTCTTTCCAATTAGGTATGTGTACGTGGGGTCTGTGCTAGTCCAGCAGAATATTTCAATAGTTCATTGAATTAATTAATTAAATAATATAAAATATATATATAACTATAACTATAACTATTCTGATATACATACATATATATTGTTATATTTTTGTACGTTTAGCTAATTTTTAAATAAATTATTTAGTGTGATTTATAAGCCCAATTTCAAGTTACAAAAATAAAAACGAAATTACAAATATATTCTGCCTGTGTTCTGTTTGGCCTGAAATCTACGAACTGGAACAAGTTCGAGCATTTAAATGGCTGCAACTAGTATCTACACTGGTTCACCATTGAGTCCCTTGCGAGTATTTATAACGCGGCGAACTGAACGATCGGTTTGGGGTGCTATTTTTGGAGGCCGAAACCAACCGTTCGCCAGCTGTTTTCAACACTCAGGCTGCAGCAAAATCGAGCAGGAAACGCTGAACTGAAAACTTGCATTTCCATTTTACATAATTTACGTAGAAATATGGAGTACGATCCGACATACGAGAAGATATGCTCCACGCGCACTGTCCAGTCGGAGAAGAAAGGTTTCTTCAACGATTTCTGTGGCGATGTGCGGGAGACATGTGGCGACAAGTGGCTGAAAAATTACTTTGGCAAACTCAAGTCGAACGCAGCGCGTGTGCTCTCCATATTCAGTGATCGGGAGGTGTGCGATCCAGTGCTCGGTGTACTCGAGCATGTCCAGCCTGTGTACAAGCAGAAGGATGCCGTCTTCTCCTTCCAGCGGCGTGCACAGGCGGACAAGTTTTATCTGTTGAGCTGCAGCACGAGTGAGCCAGATGAGCGCAGGGAGCTGCTACAGCAGGCACTGCTCGCCTCCAATCTGGCCGTGATGCGTGCGCCCGAACGCAATGTGAATCCCACCATTGACGATGGTCTCACCCTCGCGCTGGCCTACCGTTCGCGTGCCTCCATATTGATTGGCCTGGGCGAGGGCGAGCCAGCACTCAGCGATCTCAAGTTGGCCAGCAATTTCGGACTGGAGCTGAAGTCCAACGTGGACTACTACTGCAAGATGGCCAAGGCCTATGCGAGTGAGTGGCAGGCGGCAATGCCTTTTGGGTAAATTATAAACTTCCTTTTCTCTCTTTGCAGCAATGGGAGAGGCCGCACGTGCCGAAATCTCCTTGAAGATTGCCGAAAAGCTGGCTGGTGCCGATACCTCGCACATAGCAAAAATGCGCACAGAGATCGCAGGGATTAAGCCTGTGCCAAAGGAGCCATCCACGGAAGAGGTGCCGCAGCTGGTGCACGGGGAGAACCCCGAGCTGAGTGGCGCTGCCAATGTCGTGAAGCTGGTGGAGACCAAGGAGAAGGGCCGCTTCGTTGTGGCCAGCGAGGGCCTGAAGACGGGCGATGTGGTGTTGTGCGAGAATCCCGTGGCTGCCTGCCTGATTCCCGCCTTCTTTGGCACGCACTGCCATCACTGCTTCAAGCGGTAAGTGGTTCGAGCTGATTGTCCGATCATCCTGCTGATGAAACTCTCTCTCTCTCTCTCTCTCTCTCGCAGGTTGCACACTCCCGTGGCGTGTCTGCTTTGCTCGGGCATTGCCTTCTGCTCGGCCCAGTGCATGGGTGAGGCGTGCTCGAGCTACCATCGCTTCGAGTGCGAGTTCATGGATCTGCTGATTGGCTCCGGCATGTCCATTCTCTGCTTCATAGCGCTGCGCATCTTTACACAGGCTGCCAGCGTGGACAAAGGCCTGGCCACGGCCAATCTCCTCTTCGAGAACCTCTGCTCGCACGAGGATGTGCGCCAGGCGGAGGACTATCTGCAGCGTTCACTGATGGCCGGCTTCCTCATGCGCATACTGCAGAAGGCGCAGTACTTTGGCCAGCGCAAGACCGAGGGCGTTAATCCCACAGCCGTGGAGCTGCAGGTGGCCACCGCGCTGCTCGGACTGCTCCAGGTGCTGCAGTACAATGCGCACGAGATCTACCAGACGCAGGTGACGGACGAGCATCGCTTCGAGGGCAGCAAGACGGTGCACGTGGGCGCAGGGCTCTACGGCACGGGCTCGTACTTCAATCACGAATGCTGGCCAAGGTGGGTGGAGCGGTCTGACCGGAATATAGTGACTTAGCCTCTCCCTTTTCCATCCATTTCCCCTGCAGCGTTGCCAGCTATTTTGTGGGCAAGAAACTGGTGCTGGCAGCCACCAAGCCGCATCGTCCGCACGAATGGGTCGCCGTCAACTATGGCCCCATCTTCACGAACACCAATCTAAAGGAGCGCCAGAGGTCCCTGCGTGGCAGATACTCCTTCAGCTGCAGCTGCATGGCCTGCCAGGAGAATTGGCCGCTGCTGCAGAAGCTGGACAAGCAAGTGCGCTTCTGGTAAGTACAAAATAGTTATGTAATCCAACATATTACTGCATTATACATGCCTCCCAGGTGCACTTCGGCAAACTGTGTGAATCTGCTCAAGTTCCCCAAGGACTTGGCCAAGGATGTGCGCTGTCCGCGCTGCCGCAAGAATGTTTCCCTCAAGGAGAGCGTCGCCAGGCTGATCAAAATCGAGGAACTCTACCGAGAGGCAGCACAGGCAATGCAGGCGCAGAAGACCGGCGAAGCCATTGAGCTCTTCAAGGAGGGCATCGATCAGTTCTTCCAAGTAGCGGCACTGCCCCACAAGGACACGCTGCTGGCGCAGCACTCGCTGACCAAGTGCGTCGCAAATACGGGCACCACCTTTAAGAAATAGCATGTGGCTGACAAATAATCATAGACTTGCATATGTATTTATGTTTAAAAATTATTAAAACGTTTTTCTACTCATTACGCTGCTGATTGAAGAAGAATTTTGGTAAATTTAATGCAAATCGTGTTCGATTAATTGTTTTTGAATTTGTGGTTCGTTACCGCTATTTCACTGCAACTCTGCAGCTGTGTTGGTTTTTTCGCTGTTTCAATGCAACCCTGGGCCAGCTGTTGCTGCTGTTTTGGTCACATTATTTGTGTAGCCCTGGGTGCTGGGTTTGTTTTGAATTTTGTTTGCTAAAAAGATGTTTAAAAAACTGAAACCCGGTGAAAGCGAAGAGGATGTGCTCCGCATGGCCGCCGACTTCAAAGCGGAGCGACAGAAGAATCCAAACTTTCAGCCAGCAGCGGCGTTTGTGCGTATGGAAAAGAGTAAGTGAATATTCCTGTCTTTGTTTGTGCCGGCTGCCATGTGAATTTTCGGAATATTTATTGCAGCGCCGAAGAAGTCCGTGTTTGCACAGAAGCGGGAGCAGGCCAAGCTGGGTCGCGTATCCTCCAAGAACGAGCCAGGACCCCAAGAGCCGGTATTAAGCGTCAAGCAGGTAAACGAAAATGCAAGGAGGAGCGAGGCAGCGCCCACGAACAAGGTTCTGCTGGATGAAATCCATGAAAACATGCTGGGCGATGTGAGTGGCAGCAAAGTGAATCCAAGTCTAATAAACGCCGTGCTGGGCGAGATTGTGGAGAGAGCAGAAGGTGCGCAGCGTGCCCCAATCTCACATTCCCAGGCCTCACAGCCAGCCACCAATAGGCCGCGTAGCATTTTCGCCCAACAGCTTGCTGCAGCAGGAGCAAGAACAGTCCAGGAACCGCAGCACTCACAGCAGAAACTACATTCCAAGGAGCCAAACGGACGCAGTGCCATTGTGCGAGATGCGAAACTGGCAAAGGAGTTGCACGAGGAAAACTTGGCGCTGCTCAATCAAATGAGCCAAGAGGATATATTGGCAGAGCGTCAGAGATTGCAGGCTACGTTAAGTGAGCCCATAGATGGTTACTGGTTTTGGTATGGTTATTAATTTAAATATAATTACAGATCCTGCACTGCTGGCAATGCTGTCCAAAAGTCGTGCAGGCAGTGGACCTGCAGCTAAGAGTGAGACATTGCCAAAGCCCAACGAACCCACAGAACAGCCTCAAGCGTCCATCTCCGCTTTGGTTGATTCCAATCCTGCCCACGCGCTACTGCAACAAAGTGGCGAGAACAAATGGCTTAACTTCAATCTTGTGGAGGAGCACAAGCTCGCGTGGATGCGCGATATACCAGCCAAGATGAGCGAACTGAAGCCGGGCCAACAGTTCGATGCGCGCTTTGACTGGAAGGGTGTGCTGCTGCCGCACACGCTCAAGCAGCCAGCGCAGGAGCAGGCAACATCCGTGGACGAACGAGAGTTGTATTTGCATGGGGAGGAAGCTGAACGGCCGGGCTACACGCTGCAGGAGTTGTTTCGATTGGCGCGGTGGGTGCTGCGTGCTGCGTTTTCCCTGAAACATTCATAATTTTCCCTCTGTTTCCACAGCTCCACTGTGCTGCAGCAGAGAATCTCGGCATTTGGTGCCATTGCTGGTATCTTTAGCATCTACAATCAGGGCTTCTATGACCAAGTGCTCAGCCTGCCGATCTCCAAAATATTCTTCCTGCTGCGCTTTGGCCTGGATGAGAATGTGCCCGCACAGCTGGAGGTGGTTAGCCGCGCTCTGGCCTGCCTGTTCTACAACGAAACGGATGAGGTGCTGCTGGACTACATCCACGACAATGCCTACTGCCACTGGCAGCCAACGCTGCAGGTCGTGAGCAGCTACAGCGACTCGGAATCGGACTCCGATCCCACATCCATTGCCTTTCTGCAGCGCTACATGAAGCTGCTGTCGAGCAGTCCGGCCGTGCGTGCCGATGTCGCCGAGGATGAGACGGAGAGCCGCATGTCCATGGATGACTTTCAGCTGGCCGAGACAGATCTAATGGCTTGCTTGCTGCGCACGAACATACTGCAGCGCATCACGTGAGACAAAAGACAAAATTTTTGCATTTAAATGTGTATAACTTAAAGGAAACTTTGTGGCAGGTTTATCCTCAACTCAGTACGTCCGGACAACAGCAGCGTGGACTCCTGCCTGAAGCTGCTCATACGCATCGCTCGCACCAGCATCCAGGTCGCGCGGCAGCTGGCAAACGAAAGCCATCTCTTGGTTGTTATTTTGAGCAACTTTCTGCCCGCTGGGTCGTCGTCGAGTGGCGCCTTCTACGGCCAGCCGCAGCCGCTCTGCCTGAAGCTCATTCGCGTGCTGGTCTGCCAGCATCTGGACATAGCCAAGAGCCTGGCCAAGGGCGTGTTGTTGGAGAGACTGAAGCAGTGTCTATTTCAGCGCGACAGTGTTGGGGTTTGTGCCAAACATTTTTATTGATTGATTGGATATAAAGAATGTCTTTTGCAGGGCAAAATGGTACGCGTTCAGGTGGAGTCACTGCGCATCCTGCGCTGTGTGCTGCTGCTGGGCATTGTGAATCGGGATCTGTACAGGTGCGTGTGTGTCTGAGAGACAACAACTATTGCATTGAGTTAATTATTTCCTGCATTATGAACTCCTTGTTCACATTGAGGTAGCATTGGACGGTTTGATAGGCAGTGTCGCAGCCATCAGTGCCCTCTGCAAAGCGAAAGGAATGTACAGGAAGCGCACACAAAAAGGATATCCCAATACATACTCTGTGTGCCGCAGGCGCCAACTAATTCGTTGATCTTGGGGTGCACCTCTTCAGGCAGCACGTCGATTAGAGCCTCCAATTGCATGACATTTTTGCTGTCGATCTGTAGGGGTAGAACTTTTTAAAGGAAAAGTCTGCAGTCTCAGTCGTTGCAAACCCACCAGTCCGAACATGTCAAACATGCAGTGAAGAAAACACTTAAAGGGGGGATCATCGGGCAGCACCTGATCCTGCTTTGCCTGCAACATGCGCTCTGCAAGTGGCGTTGATTATTAACAAATTTCATAACCCAACGGATGCCTCACCTTCGGATGCGCCTGTCTGGTTGATGCAGCGTGTCTTTAGCTTTGCTATTTGCTTCTTCAACACCGGCGACAGCTCAAACTGTGTGGGCAAGGACTGGAGGACATGGCAACCCATAGATAGAACTCAAATACTTACCGCTTGGCTGGGTGGCAGCGCTTCATAGCCAATGAGCATGGCCAGGAGAAGACAAACATTCCAGGAGGCTGCCATGGTGTCGATAAATTTCCGCCACTTGACTGAGGATGCTCCTCGCACAACGCTCACTTTTATAGCTCCCCCACCTGTGGCTGCTGCTGGAATGTTTTGGGCGTAATAGCTGGCATTATTGAGTAGCACTTCATCTATGTTTAACTTTCGTTACAGACAGTTTCTGCCCGCCCTGCGCCAAATGCTGGACTGGCACTGCAATCACAGTGTTTTCGATGGAGTGGGCGGCACAGTGCTGATCCGACAGCACGCAGCCGCGCTGCTCGTTGCCATTGTGGCCGCCGGCGAGAGTGGAGTGTGTGACGTTGATGGGCAGAAGCTGCTGGCAGAGCCACTGCACAATTGCTGCTGCAGCTGGCTGCACGCTGCCACGCGACTTGAGGCCATTAAGGATGTGAGTGTGGATACCAAATCGTAGCATTACTTTCCCTAAGCTTGTTTTATCTTTAGTTTAGCCAACTAACTCTACTGAGTGCCGCTTCGTATGCCGTCTCGTGGTTCTCCCGTAATGGTTACATGGGCACGGCAGCCTTTCAGCCATTTCTGCGCAGCATTTTGCCGCAGTTTGTGCGCTCCCCGTGCTTCGTGGCATGTGTGCGGGATCTAAGGTGAGTTGATAACACTCACATTTCATCGCGTTTAATTACTGCCTTTGCAGCAAGGGCTCTGTTCTGCTGCGACGCCCCATCGATCGGCGCAATGTTCATCCCGCGCTGCCCAATGTGGGCGCCGTATTGATGCATGACTATGGACCGCAGCTGATTGTGAGCGACACGTATCCGGCGCATCTGTTGAGCAGCATCTGGGCGCTGCGCGATCTGTCGCTGGAGGCCAACGGGCAGCGGCCATTGTTTGAGGCGCTTATGCAACCCTCCGTGCTGGAGCCAGTGGCCGAGTATTTAGTTCAGCTAAGCTCCGGGCTGAATCGCATTTTGGCCACCAATTTCTTTGCACGCAGCGAGCTGAGATTCGTGCATCAGCTGCTGGCCACGGATGGACTGGAGACGTACCTCGAGCGCACGCAGCTGCTGCAGCTGGTCTACAGCTATCTCTGCTGCCTATCCACAGCGCATGCCACACAGATCAAGAGCACATTCGAGCGCTTTATCTTCAATGGGCAGTACGTGAAATTGGATGCCGCAAGCCTCAAGCTGCTGCAACAGACATGCATGGAAATGATTTACCCGCACGTGATAGCTGTAAGCTCAACGCTGAAGCTCTTCTCTCACAGCCTCACAAACCCTTTTTTTGTAGGACAACTGTGAGCCCTCGCTGTCGCTGTGCTACACGCAAGCACCCATCCTGCCCGCTGACTGGCCCTTCTTTCAGCTGCGTCTTATCCTCAGCAACTACTTGCAGAATGTGCAACAGCAGCAGCCAGCGGCAAGCTACTCAGGTGCAAAGTTAATCCTCTCCCCTTTGAGCCCCAAATAAATCCTTTTGGCTCTTACAGAACATCAGGTGGTGCGCATGACTCTGATGTTTGTGCGTCAATTGGAGCAGGAAGGCTTGCAAATTGTTTCGCCGCTGGAGAAGCTTATGTACCTGATGATTGCCTTTATGGGTCCCGACTCACAGTTCCTGGAACCGGACTTGCATCAGCTGCTGCACGACTACCTCGGTGATTTCTACACACAGAACGCGGCCACTCAGTTTGATTTTGATGCGGAGCTCGTGGATAAGGCCAGATTTGAGCCACTCTACTATCTGTTTGTGGAGCACTTTGCGGCTGCCAGCTATGGCGATGAGCTGTTCAGTTCGTTGGTGCTGCTGCCCCTGGCTCAGAAGTATGACAACAAGTGGCGGCGGAGACTGTGGTCCGAGCATGTGCAGGTTATGCGGTTTCTCAACTGCAGCGAGGATATGGTGCGTGCTTGCTGGAAACCAATTTCAGCGTTTAAAACTCTTTCCTTTGCAGCTAATTGGTGGCCTGCCTGCGTATCTGGACCCCGTGGAAGAGGAGCCTTCGCTGGTGCAGCTGTATGGCGATGCACTGGAGCGTAGTCTGGTGCGTCCAGGCAGCATTGCTTATCGCATAGCCCAGCACCACTTCAACCACTCGAAGGTGTAGCGGAAGACCAAATTGTTTTGATTATCTCAAAATTAACTAGGCATGTACTGGGCCACCCACCGATAAAGTCGTGTCATGCGGCAGCTCCAAAATGTGACAATATTCTATTTGAAGGCCAACTGATTTGGGGCAACTATCTGTGAATTATCTAACCGAAATAGAACCTACCTCAGGGTGAAACTCTTGAGTCCGAAATGCACGTGATTTGCAGCAATCGAAAGGCACAGAAATAAATGTATGCGTAAGCCATAATAGTCCCCAGGAATCGGTTGTAGTCCGTTGTGTAACCGAATTCCTAGTTTAATTGCATGTCCGTAATCTGCTTGTGGCAGGCAGGCCTGACTGATGCAGAGCATTTTGCTATCGGCCTCAATTAATTAACATCATTTGACTTATTGACACATGGGCCAAGAGTTTGCTCTTGCCTCTGCCCTGCCTGCTGATAAAATATATGTAATTAAAACGAGCACAATTGAGTGGCCGCTGCTAATTAAATTATTTGATCTGTGTGTGCATGTGTGTGTGTGTGTGTTTCGTTTATGTTTCCTCTTAGAAGTGTACCAGAGCCACCCACACTCTGGCCGCTGCAAAGGCTTTGACACATGGCGTATGCGCAACACCAAGACTCATTTCTTTTGCTCGTGTCCACCCAGACATTGGACCTACTGCCCCCAGCCAGCAGCCACACAATGTGCGAGGTGTCAGCAGACTCATGTTTAGATGTTAATTGCTTTTAAATGAACGTTAATCATTTGATAAGTCCTAACGCTGTGCCCGCCGGGGTGGTAAATATTTGCAGAGGGCCAACCATAAATTAACCAATGCTAAGCGCTTGAAGTAGCGACAATAAAATTAAATATCGATCGGCAACCCAAACTATTATTAGGCACTGTGCTGTGTGTGCGCAATCTATTTACCTGAGACTTGATTGCCCCATTGAAAATTTAACTTGAAACTGGAACTGGTCTGGAGTGCATACAATTTTAGCTTGAGAGTGAAATTTCATTTGTTATCTTTGGGTTTTCTGTTGGAATACACTGGGAAGATGGAGTTGTATGTTTTGGCATACTGTGAGGATAAATTCACTCTTAAATGAGAAAGTTGTTAGCAGTTGAGACACTTAAACTAAGGCTGTATTTGGTCTTACAAATTGTATTCAAGCTTAGCTTTAGCTAACAGCAAGAGTATACAGCATTCGTTGCTACAAGTTCCTCTGCCTCGAACTTTTGTTTAATTTCGACTTTTGAGTCATGTCACTAGACATTTTTTTGTGCAGCTTTCGCTGGAAATTGTTTTCGTGGGAGTGCTTTATGGACAGCTTCAAGAGTAAACGAAAGAAATTCCCCAAGCGGGGGAATTTTGTATTGTTTATTATTTGTTGTCTCAATATGAAATATTTATCGAACTTTTACATACCAGAAAATCAATATTGAATGGGGCAAGGGAGCATTGTTGTTTGATAAGGAATCCGAGGTCTAGCTCCGCAGTTTGTATATCCGGAGTCAGCTCTTATCGGCGATGAAATAACATTCGAAAATGCCAGATAGCAAGTTCCAATTTAACGAAGGTTCGCTGAATTATTATTCTGTTCTATTGGCGATCAAATATTTGCATGGCCTGCACCTGACGGCGGCTGAGTGTGTGTGTGTGCAGCGGGAACGGGCAACCGGTTTGGTTTCGGTTGGGGTGCGCTTGCAGCTCCTTGAACGAGCCACCCGGCAACAACAGGAGCGACTCTGTGGACACATTTAGTCGGCTGTTATTTGCATTTATTTATGTTAAAAAACCGACCATTTGTCATGTTTGAAAAATTACTTTTTAAAGTTTGCAGTGCCTTGAGATGATTATCGATTCTGCCAATTCTTGAATGATTCTTTTTTAATGGCCAAAAGTTTAAGTTTTTCTTGCAGAAATCTCTTAAACTTCACCCCGAGTACATTTTTTATGCAATTTTTTCCATGCCGCTCTCTAGGCAGCCCTCGCTAGGCTCGTTCAAAAGTAACCCCAGCGGCAAACGCGCTGAATCGGCACACCACAAAGGGTGGCCAGGCCACAAAGAGGCAATACAATGTGTACACTATGTAACAACCGATAGGAGAGATATGTACATATGTACATACATAAATAGTACATAGTGGCCCTCGGGTTCCCATGCCACATTCAACATCAACTTCAACTTCCAACTCAAACTCTCCCAGGCACCATGATCGGCCATGCCATCCAATGCCATGTGCATGAAGTGGAATTTTTTAGAGCACGCCGGCAACTTCGGGAATCGATCACGTCATACTCGCATACATACAAACACACATAAGACCCGGGTCGTACGTTCGTGTGTGTGTGTGTGTGTTTGCTATGCTTTGTTTGGCTTTGCCGAAGACTCATCGTTCGGTTTCGTTTGTGTTTGTTCGCCGCGGGCGCACAACTGAGGCGAATTGGCTTGATATTTCGATCTACCCTCCGTTAGCTCGTTTCAGTCTTTCGCCGACTCTAAAATCTGTATGTTCCTCCGATCGGAGCAACGCCGCGCAGTCGCCACGTTTTAAGTTTGTTTGTTGATTTCTTGATTTCTTGATGATTGGCCCCCGTGTCTCGTGCGGTAGTAAACATTGGACTCCCATTGCGATACGTTTATTTTGGGTGTCTGCATAAAAAATAGATATTTATTTTTGAAACAAGTCAGCCAAGAGGCAAGTGTGAGTTGCATTTTACAGCTAGATTTGTTGTGTGCCAAAAAAAGAAAACAGTAAAGGTCGCGTCTTCCAGGCCCCACCTTTCGTTGACGTTGATCAGTCAAGCCGATCGATCGCGGAGTACCGTTAGACGCTTCGTAACACATTTAATTACATTTGGAAACGGGTGCAGTGGCACATTACAGTTACATACATAACTAAATTTGTATTTAAAGCTGCGTGAAAGCGACCAGAAAAAAAAGTGACTCTGCCCTTTTGTACATCCAACATAAAAATCGAAACACATTCAATTTGTGGAAAGTACATTTGGGGAATTTCAAGTGGGTCGTGGAGCTGATAATAATTATTTGTAAGCACACCGCCTGGGAGCTGCCATTCCACCCGCTGGCAGAGAGCAAATGTTTGCCGATGAGTGGCACGGGGAGAGCGTGTTGTGTGTGTGTGTGTGTGTGTGTGTGTGTGAATGGTGTGTGTGTGCCAAGTGAATAAATAAAATACAAAATCGAAAATCAACCAAAAATTTCTATAAATTCATTTAAAATTATACGACTCTTGCTTTCGTAGATCGCAGATATTAATTAATTGCCAGGCAAGCAGCTGGATTCTACTTTCCAAAAGCGATTTTAGGTGAGTTCATGCGAGAGTGTGTCTGTCTGCGTATACAGAATATTTATTTACTTTAAAGCCAAATATTGTGCCAGCCAGCTGCGCTTTCCACTGGCTTTTGTCTAACTATTTTTCTATGCTTCTATCTGCCTCGTTACGCTCCGAGAATAATGTGGCTCTGCCTTTGTCTCTACTCTGTTTGGCTGTAATTTAATAAACCTTCCATTGTGACAGCAAGTTATGAAAGTTAAGATTTGAGATTTCTTTGTGGGTTGTAAATTCCAATTCATGTTTAGTGTTTGTGCCACTGGCCACTGCACCAACAAGTGCCTCGAGTGCACTTGAACTTGAAAGCTATTAGCGGCTTTTCCGGGTGGGCTACTCACTCTGTCTCATCAAACTTGTAAAATATGAGGAAATACAACAAGTGGTGCTGCTGCTGCTGCTGCTGCTCTTACTGCACGATCCAATGGAACGGGCAATTTGTCTTTAGGGCCCAGAGACAGGGTAAGGGTATGCATGGGCATAGATCATTGTTTTACTGACGCTGTTATGACATTCCCCCAGTCACTTGCGGTCACTTGTCGGGTCTCTTGGGGTCCCATATAGTAGCTTGGATTTAAATTCACATTTTCACTTTGGCACGTGTCACAAATGCCAGCAGACGTTTTCTTAGCTACATTTTGTGTAGTAAATTAATTAGTCCCAAGTCCCAAGTCCCAAGTCCCAAGGATATTATGGAATCTCGAGATTTAATTTTAATTGAATAAATCGGATTTATTTGTGGCCTGTCAACAATTGTTTAATTATGCTCTGGCTGTAATCCTTTCACCTGCACAAAACTTCAATAAAATTATCAGCAGCTGCCCGGAAGCAGTCAGCAAATCCTGCTGCAGGGTTGCTGCCATCCAACCCCTAACCTGGACCCACATTCATTTGGGGGTTGCATTTGAAGGTCGTGTCCTATATACACACACACAAACACACCGATGAATGGACTGACAAATTCCAGTTCGGATCGGAGCACAGCGACTGTCAGAGCGGATAAAGGCAAAACGAACACATGCCTCGATTAACTTGTCCATTTGCCGAGCCATTGACACAATATAACTAATGGAAATGCAGCGCTCGACTGCCAGACTGCCGGACTGCCCGAATGCCTGACTGTCTGTGCGGCGTCTGGTTCTGGGTGGTTGGTGGACCAGGAGGTAGGAGGCGCTGGCGCTAGCTGATCCAAGAGGCTTTTCTTGTCAGCCACAGACAATAATGACAACAGCAGTGGGACGGATCACAACAGAACCAAACAGAACAAAAAACCTCAAACTAATACTCGCAAATCATTGACCTTGCGAACCTTGACAAAAGCGACCGAGTGGCTCGGTTATACTATAGTTAGTTGAGCAAAATGTGCATAGATGGATGGGAATGGGAATGGGAATGGAAATGGGAATGGGAATGGCACTCACTTGGCGACTAGCGACAGTCTGGGCGAGGTAGTCGAGAGGTACAATACTCATAGTGAAGGTGGACCACGGCGGAAATGGGTCTCTATGAATGCCTGAAAATTATGCAAAGCGGTCAGCCCAAGTCACGGAATCAAGAGCCACGCTGCATTGCAGCGTTGACAATTTTCACCGTTTTTTTTTTTTGTCGCCTTTTGTCTTTTGCACGTTTAATCAAGATTTATGACAATTGACGGAAAGGCAGAAACGATGCAAAGACGTGGCAACGTGGGCGTGTGTCGAGCAAAAGTAAAGGCATATTTTTCGTTAGGAAATGCGCTAATCAAAGTGAATGTGAAGCGTGTGCCGGCACAGCCAAAAATTCCGCAAAAAATAATTCATAAAGAAATCCAAATCCAACATCAGCGGCAGTCCAGCTCCAGCTGCATGGCTCCCCTTTTATGCTGTCCAGAAATGTGACCCCACTGTGCCATAGCGCCAAGAATTTCAGATAAGAGAGGAACCGAAGCCCCAGACGTTTGCTTTGATGTTTGCTGGCTGCTTGGATGGATGGTTGGCTAATGGGTTACACGTTTCTCAACTGAAAGATGTATATTGTATATACAATATGTATCTGTTTTTATGTACAAGCATTTTGCGTTGAATCCCAACTAATGGCAGGCCAATTGGCCAGGTAAACTGTTCTCTCTCTCTCTCTCCTCTTC